CAAACAAACAAACAAACAAAGAGCTACGTTCCTCAAAAGTTAGTTCAATCATACATGATCAGTCAAATTAGTCTACAGGACGTTCTTTGGCTAAAACGTGCAGAATAAGATAACCAGATTGGTCCAGAACTTGACCTTAAATACCAAAGGTCTAGACTGAAAATGATAGGTTAGTAAAATCTAATTGATCAAAAGGCCAAACAGCTTTGTATGGGTTCGTAACCTTATGGTTACAACCATTACTCACCTCTAAAAACTATCTTTGGAGGTTGAGTAATCCTTGATACACCTAGGCCAAATGAACCTTCTGTGGTGTTCACATGTGCTCATACGAAATACATCACAGAACATGTATCCATGAATGGCTCAATCCACAGACTAACCAAGGACCCACTTGAATATTACTTAACTAACCATACTGCCACTATTTCTATTCCTGTAGCAAAGGTAACCATAGTCCCTGTAAACTACACATGTACACTGACCTGGATAATACAAAACTGATTCTTAATTTTGATGATTAGAATCACCAACATCTCCACTGTCTTGCTTTGTGGATCTTCTCTCAGTTACAAGTTTAGCACTAGCAATGATTCGACTTACGTTTCAGTTAAGAGGTGCCACTTTTTCCGTTTCCATATTACTCTTACAAAATGGGGCCGTAACCTGTAGATATAAGCTGTGCAACCATTCATGTACACAGTTATCGATTTCTTGAAACATGGTCGCTGTAACAATGTTCTTTGTGGGTGTTAGAAGGTTTTACTAGTTTTGGAAATGACAAATTAACAAAGATAACTTGAAACCAGATAAACTTAATGGTTTGCTTGACTTTTTGTTTTGTGAAACCTCTACATATCCAGACCAAAGAATAAATTTAGAATCTATAATAATAATAATACAGAAAAAATAAAAAAATAAATATATAGTATAATCCTACACCACACTAAATCCAAGTAAGGATGCGATGTAATTTGTAAGGTTATGAGTTGAAAATAAGATCTAAGGCTCTAAAAATTATAAATCACTTTTTCTTATTGAATCACAAGTTGTAAAATTGAATATTTATTTATTTTATATACCTAGTGTTACGTATTAGAATTTCAAATGGTCTGAAATCAAGCTAAATGATATTTTAAATTTAGTAGTTAAATTGTAGTTTGGATTTAGCAGTTAAGTAAAAGCTGATACATAGTCAGTTTATGATATTTGCCAAGAAGATTGATACACACAGTTTTCTTTTATAACACAAATACGTTTTAATATACAAACAACAATACAACTTACAATAACAGTTATTACAAACAATGATTTATAAACAAAAGTTAAAAACTTACAAGCAATATAAAGTCTTATTTCTAGTCTGGAACTTCTTCTATATCTTATCGAGGGTTCACGATGAGCGAGTTAATTACGAGTTGACGTAGGTATAATTCATTTAATAGGGAACTAGCTAGCATTTCCCTTCGTTATTCACCAGCTACAAACGCCGAGTTTTCCTACCGGTGATGTTAGGTAATGTTTTCGTAAAAGTACTAATGTCCGATGTGAATCCACTGAAGTTGAATGATTTGTAATGTTCGAACTTTGTAAATACTCCTGGTCAAATATCTTAAGATTCACGATTGATAAGCGTTATAACAATCACAATTATAGCTTCCGAAGTTTATAGCACACTGACTATAGCAAGCTAATAATAGATACTCTTTTTGGCGCGTCGCGTTGGTTATATTTACAGGCGTGTGGAGAGTTTCTAGAAAATTCAAATTACGTAACAATACAAAACTACATTTAAGCATTTACGTACATACATATATTGTTGATTCTTACTCTCGAGAATCTTCTACTATTTTGGAGAATAGGCGGGAGTTTCGCAAAACATATTTAACACTATAAGCTATGCATATTTCTAAATATAAAGTTACTCTAAACAAACGTCGATAGTAAAATAAATATATAATACATATATATGTATATATATATATATATAAATTTGAACATATATATAAATATATATAAATTTGAACATATATATAAATATATATAAATTTGAACATATATATAAATATATATAAATTTGAACATATATATAAATATATATAAATTTGAACATATATATAAATATATAAAAAGGACAATTTTACACACCTGAGAGTCCTTGGCTTATGCCTCCACAATATACTGTACAGTTTGTTGGGCTTGACTGGTTGTAGACTTCATCAAATGTAATGGATTGAGAACTACCTGGTGAGTTTGTACAGATAGGATAATACTAATCAACATAGAAGTTTTTATTTGTCACAAAAAGCTATTCTCAACTAACTATACTTAAAGACTATAAGACAGTATTTAAAATATATTGTTGTTTATATTCTGAGCACATAGAAAAATATTCAATCATAAATATACAGTAGTTAAATGATTAACTACATTTCTGTGTATTTCAGTATTCTTTCACATGAAACAGCTTCTAAAACCTTTTGATTTTTTCTCCTAAGGAACTGATAAAAAACCTTTGTTTTCCAATAAAAGTGTGTGGATTGAACTTTTACTTAACTGAAAATAAATCTTGGTTTATACTACAAAATTGTTCAATTGGTTAATGTTATACTTTTAGATCAGTAACAATTAGGTGGTGATTATGTTTTTTAACTGTGAATATTTTATGATTCCCCAATACAAATGATTGATTTTGATCGTTTATTTGAAAATTCTACTTAGATAAACAATACAAGGTGAAAGTTTGTATGTATGTATGTGCATATATGACTTAAACAGATACAGAAAACTTCTATAAAATATAGGAAAAGCATATAAGATGTGGTAGTTTATCCAAAATTTGACCTTTCTTTTTTTTTGCCCTTCTTTTCTTCTAATGCAACAATTAGATACATCCTTAGCAAATATCTAAACACACCGGAAAATAAAGGGGGTTCGAATAATTGTGCTTGGGCATCTACTTGTAGTTTCATAAAACTAGCAAAAATATAAGAAACAACAATAACAACAGTGAAACTTATAGATCTAAAAGCGTATTAAATGTTTGTTTACTTCTAGGCAGACTATATTATCTCACAGCCTTCTCTAAAACAGTTGATGTACATAGTCATTTGTATAAACCATTGACTTCATCAATATACGATTTCAGCCTCACAAGAAGACTTGGAATAGGTTTATACAACAAACTAATAGGACAAAATGTCTCCCTCTCTCTTACACTGCTACAAAAGTTGAGGTTTGAATCTTTAATCTTAACTCTCAATACCAGTATCGTTTGATAAGAATAGACAGTAAAGTTATGCCCAATTTTCCAAAAAAATAAATGAAATAGAATAAAGAAAAGTTATCTCTTAAGCTTTTACCCCTCTTTTGCCGTGAGGATGGAAGATATTTTCTTGGAATTCCATAATTCTGTTGGTGTAACCCCCATTGCTGCTCTTCTGTATAGTGTACTTGTTCTGTCTTGTCTTGCCCACACCAGTGTGTACATCTTAACAGTTTATTCTTTCAACATTCGAACAATAAATTAATCTATTTCTGTTCTATTCACTTGCTTTCAATCAATTATTTATGTTTTCACATTAAAGTTATTTTTCACAATACCTAATTTGTTTCACCTTTTTGGTTCTATGATAAATATAAAATACAGATATATATTTTATGTTATGCTTTGTCTTTTCAGTAGTTACCCAAACCTTTAAATTCATTCTTAACAACTAAATCTGCGATCCTTGATTGTATGTGGATATTTAGTAGCTGCCTGTAGATTAATAATTCTTAGTGAAGAATACCACAGTAGTGAAAGATAAAAGAGAACTTATCTTACAAACTTAACATTTATAATAGGCTTAAGAGAGCGAGAAGCATGCCCTCCCAGTTATTACTATAAGCTTTAGTCTTTATGAACACCTTCCCAAAGGATAGCGTAATCCTGCATTTAATCCTGGGATATTTGCCTACTTCACAAGTTTTGAACATTCTCTTAACCTAAAGCTAACACTTCCCTTGCTAATGTTTGCTTACAGTGATTCAGCATCATGATGCAAGGAGACAAAGTTTATCATGCAGCCTTAATTATCCTACATCAAGTAGAACTGCAGCAATGCTCGGTGTCGGCATCAGAATATCTTTGATTTAATCTCTCGTGGTTGGAAGCATCAGTGAAGTATTAATTACCTTCAGTAACATGCTGTCATTGTACTGCAGTAACGATTGCATGCATCTGTAACATTTATTAAATCATCAGTTTTATTTCATCACTAGGTATTCTCTCATTAAATCTATTTATCTATCTTGCTGCCACATGCTCTAAACTGTCGTCATGTAGGAAGCTTATACTATACATATAATTCTGCTGGTACTTACACATGATATGTGAGTTGTAATCAGGCAGCTGTGTATTCATGCACTGTATGTCATTTGTTGTTAAACAATCTACCCTAACCTACTCCATCTGGGTTTGTAATAACACTACTGTTGTGATACAACGTGAGAAAGCTCGCCATCGCTTCTGAATTTTGTCAGTCAAAAATTCAATTCTTTGTACATTATACAATGTTTCCTGTTAACGAAGACTTATTTCATATTTTGCATCTGTGGAAAATGTCTAATTTCGTCATTCTCTGACCGTATCCTTGGCCCAGCAGTAAGAACACGCTCTAAGAACTCTTGTTCAGCGGAGGGCGAACGTGTTCCAGTGGTTAGCATGCCAGATTGTGGTACCTTGGTTCGCGCCTCGTTGCCACCCAAAAAATAAAACTGTGCTCCGCAGTGGGTTCGTTATAAGACTAGTGACGGTTAAATCCTACTATTCCATTAGCAGTGGTTTCGTTATAAGACTAGTGACGGTTAAATCCTACTATTCGATTAGCAGTGGGTTCGTTATAAGACTAGTGACGGTTAAATCCTACTATTCGATTAGCAGTGGGTTCGTTATAAGACTAATGACGGTTAAATCCTACTAATCGATTAGAGTAGCCCACAAGTTAGTGGTGGGTGGTTTTGAATAGCTGCATTCCCTCTAGTTTATTGCTTCAACATTAGAGAGGGCTAGCGCAGGTAGTCCATGAGTAACTTTGCACGAAATTCAACAAGACAACAACAGCTTGTTCAGTAGTAGACGCCTAGTGGCGTTCATGAATGAGAAATTTTCAGTATATCTCAACCTTTTGAGACGCGAACAACCTCGAACTTGGTGGATTTGCTTTAGTAACGGTCAGAGAATGTCTCCACCCACGTAAATGTAGTTAAAGTTAGGGCTTTAAACCTCGATGCTTGAAACGCTTCTTGAAGAGCTGAAATGTTCCGCCGTCGTCAAGTTTTAATTCTCTTGTGATAGATAGTACTTCAAATCCACGTCTGAGTCTTTTCCATGGGGATGGTTGAAAGTCTTGAGTGTAATTAGCGCAAGTATGTGTACCGTGAATCATGATGTATACTTTTCTACTAAAACGTGCGGAGATTCGCCTTCAGGTCCTGCGGTAGCTATGGGAGCAACACCTGACCTACCTCATTTCCAGCCCGAATGTTCAAAGTTTAAAAACAAATCTCTTAAAATTTACATGTGCATCACCCCAAATATTGTACACATGTTGAGTATGGACATGTGAATTTTTTGATACATTATATCTCTAAAAAAGTAACTTCCAGGTACTTTCATGCCTCTATTAACCATATCTCTTCTGCTTTTGTCACAGACACACTCATAGAGCTGGATGGGAATACTGGAGAGGCTCTTTCTTGACCACGAGTAAATTCTTTAAGTCTCATACTTGAATACAGCAATGTATGGACAATACTTTCTGGGTTACTTCTTCTCTTGTTAGCTTGTATCATATGACGAAAATTTATCTTTAATCTTTCGTTTCGGTTGTATTCTTGACTAAGAGTAATTTATTTACGTGCACTACTGGATATCTGCAAATAATCGTATATCGAAGATTTAGTTGTCGAGAATGAACTGAAAAGTGTATGTGGCAAACTGAAGAGAAGAAATATGATGCATAACAATATTTATTTTACACTTAACAAAGAACACTAACAATGAAACATTTGGTACTATCATAAAGACAATGTAATATCGGATGATAAATAATTGATTTAAAGTAAAGAAAACACAGAAGGCTGAATTTTGAAGAATAAACTACTAAAACACAGATAACGATCTGACTGTATATTATACATAAAGAAAAACAAAAACATTTTCGTTCCCTTGGAAACAGGGGATACAGACCAAGAAGCACATTCAGAAGAGTTATTACACTTGTGAAACTGAGAAAATCCAAGATAAAGCTCTCCATCCTCCTAACAATAGGGGGAGGAGAGATGAAGCTGAAGACGGGCTGAGATATAAACAGTACTTTGGTTGGATTTTATAGAGAAGCAATAAAAACACATTTCTTAGTGTGTAAACATAGGTCAGGTTTGAAAAAGCACATCACAAAAAAGTTATATAAAGGAGTTACACTTATGAAATAGTGGAAGTCAAGAAGAAACAAACAAGAGTCTTCCATCGCTTTCTGGAAAGAGGTGAGAGGTGGAGTAGACGGGATATAAAACATAGAATTGAGAAATGGGATATCATTACCTGTGATAACAGACCGTTAACGTTGCTGTGAAGAACATAGAAACTAAGGATCTAGAAAATCAAAAAAATCTGACAACGAAATATGAAATTATGGTGTGAGGTACAACAACGAAAAAGCCACGCGCATGCTCATTTGCATTTTACCGTGATATCATAAACTGTAGCGGTTGCATAAATGCACAAACTATAGGCTGTAACTGGAAACTTTAAGTAGTTTCGAAAACTACCAATTAAAGAAAATAATAGGCGACTCAAAATAAAACCTGTAATTTAAACTTAAAAAATAGATAAACAGTTACAAATTTGAAACCAATCTCGGGAGTAACCCATGATGACTAAGCCTAATTCTGCATATAATTAAACGAAACAAAACTAAATACCATTATATAAAAAACAATAAAATAGTTAAAACAATTAAAGCGCTGCTGAAAACTCAGTCGTTGTTTATCCTTATAATGAGTTTACTCCATCATATCTCTAATGTAGCATACCAGTTTATGAAGCTCTCTGACACGTTATCATTATAAAGCCTGTTATATTGAATAGCAAAGGTACCTGGTCACTATGTATACATCTTATTTCTGGTCATATTTATCAATTAATCCATACATTGTGAAAATAAAAAAGCAAAAAAAAACAAAAAACCTGCGATGGATGTTGTAGATAATATTATGACTTTCTTTTCAGGGCATAAAACTTGAACGAGCGATTTCCCTTATACTTTACAAAAGTCGGTCAAACATAGAGCACTGAGAGATAGCACATAGTAACATCCTAAAAAACTTTAAACAAAAGTGAAGAGCAACAACAAAAACACAACAACCTACCATCAACCTGGCTTCGATTAGCCGATACCTTACGGGTAGCCCAGTTTGTGCGTATAGCTCTGGTTCCCAACCATTGGCCATTCATCTGGCTAATAGCAACTTCAGCATCCTGGGGAGAGATGCGTTAAAATATGTAGTATCTAACTAAATTCCACTAAATTAGAATAGTCAAAAAAATTAACTCTTTCCATTAGATGTTTCATTTACTTTTTTAAACTCGAGAAGCACGTCGTACGTTGTTTTTTTCTCTCTTTCAAATACTAAAGGTCACACAACAGACATACCATACGTTAATGAAGATGTATTGTACAGGTTTGATGCGTGAGATACATTAGAAAGTCATTTTGTTCTTTAAAAGTGCTAATACTTCCTCTTTGCTTTATTCACGCAACCAATATTTCACTTTTGTTGTCAAGATAAAAATTAGAACTTTCTAAAGCACTATAAAGTACTTTAGGAGTAAGATGTTTTGGATTTGTTTTTCTCAGTCTAATCAGTAATCACTTTTCTTAGTATACATAGATGATTGAAACTAGGTTGTTGATGCTAAGCCTTTTTAACTCAGATTTTAATTAACTGTTATCAGAAATTTGGAGTTTTCGTTAATATGTTTATAATTTATGTGTTCTACAGACTTAAAAATTTGTTTTCTGCGGAAGTTATCTCTCTCAAAAAATATATTTCTCGTCAACTCTAAGTACAGAAGGTTATAAAACTGTAGTATATCGCTCTATGATGGTGATATTACCTTAGTTGCATGATTAATTAAACGTGTACATCGGTAGCATAAGATTTGACTATTGAAATTTATTATAAAGTGTTATTAGAAGCATTTAAGTAAGACAGACGTTTATACTAATTGCGAGTGTTGATTCGAAATTTGGTAGGGCAATAATAATATCATTATTAATATTTAAAATACATAATATGATTGATTATTGTATTTAAACCTAAACATGGGATCAATAAGCGTAAAGACACACTACAAAATTAGACTGCTTGACTAAGTTATAGGTTTATGTAGTAAGCTAGGAATTATTTTGTTGTTAAGCGATTAGATGTTCTCTTAATTACGAAGAGGCTGAATTTATATAACTAATTAACTGGTGTTTCTACATTGACTAGATCAAGTTGAACGTTTACTACAATATTCAATATTAGATAAAGGGTTTTATCTTGTGTAGATAATGCCATTGTCATTTAGTAGTCAATACGTATTAGTACTGAATGATTTTAAACTTATTGATTTTTATGTTAAGATAATAAAATTAGTCAGTTACAGAGTTTCTGAGCATGCTGTCAAATAGAGCTTTGTGTAAAAATGTTTTTAGATATCAAACATAGGTAAATTCGAGCTGTGTCTCTATGACGCGACCGCAAGAGGGAGCTCAGGATTGTGAATAGAAATTTTTAATTGCTATGAAATTATAAGAATGAACGCTCTTTAGTTTGATTGGCTGGACGGGGGGAAGGGGCATATTAATAAGAAACTGTGAAATTCCACAGTGTCAAGTTGAAATATGTTGACTTGATTTTGTAAGCTCAATCTGGCGTTCATCTTCACGTCGACTTTGTATTCGGTATTATTCCTGTAATTTCCTTCTCTTAAGAAGACCAACCGTTTGATTCTTTCCTAACCATCTTATCGCAATCTTTTACAGACCTACCATCAACCTCCTAGGTCTGAGGGTCTGCTCAGTGTCTTCTTGCGTAATGTTGACACCAATCGCTCTCCTATTGATAATCTATTTTCTTTACTTGACTCTGCATTGCAACTTCACAGCCTGAATACCTACCATGGATACTGTTAGAATGAATGGCTCCGTTAAAATTGCCTTTAAATCAAAGAAACAAATGGGGTGTTTTCTCTCATCTGATCTCTGTGTCGAAGTTTTCCATTATAAGGCTGGGAAATCATGTTAAACTTTCCATTTCTCCAGTTAGGCCTGTAATTAACTTCATTCCCAGACCACTAAAGTTAGCTTGACTTCAAGTTCATGAGGCTGATTTCCTGATTTAAAAGTGCATCCAGTCCACTTCCGGTCCTGTTTTAAGTCGTATTTCACTCAAATGTTCTTCCTTTCGTTAATGTACTTTCCGAAATTTACCTTTACCGCATTGACTCTAATTTCGTCTCTGATTTCTCAGGTGAAAATTATGTCAACATAGACTCAAAAGTAATGATTCGTTGGCTCCAAAATCCTTCTGCTGAATTCCAATTGGCTCTGAACATAATTTGGACGTGTTTTACCACTACTTTGTCACCTCTAAGCTACTTCACCAATGTCTTATTATCTTTTAATAATTGACCTTTTTTTGTGTGTGTGTGGGTGGGGGGGGGGGGCAATACATCGAGTATCACTTCATAGGTAACATCCCTTTTGACATCTGTTTTTCCTTTCTCTCTGTACTTCTCTATCTTGCACTTTTCCCCCTCTGTAATTCTAAGCCCTTTGTTGTTGGTGCCCCTAGCCTTTATTGGCCTGCTTTTTTATTACCTTTAGTTTTACACTTTATACTTTAGTTTTATACTCCATAGTTTCCTTTTCGTCCTTTTCAGGAAGAATTTTCAAACCGAAGTTTCATTTTTTTGATTTAACGTTTTTATTTATTTTTTAATCGTAAGGAAGAAGTTTCTTCCAATTTGCAGGGCATAATCTACGGAACAGGAGGACCCAGCTCTTTCGTCTAAGATGAGATAATAGTCAGGCTTTTATGGTCACTTTTCATATGTAGAGCTAGTTAGCCAAATATCTTCAGATATTAAGTAGCCTACACAACCACTTAAGTCTAATTATTGATTATGTACTTTTATTATTACTATTAGATATTAATCCTACATTTCGGCTGCTAATCTGCAGTCGTCTTCAAGGAAGTTCTGAGAAAGATTGTTTTTGTGGTTGAGAACTCGTTCCTAGATCTTCTTGATAGAAAAGCTGATATTCTAGTCACTCGTTTGGAGTCTTTCCAATTAGATTAGCAGTCGAAACATAGGATAAGAGCTAGTTATTAACTAATAATGATAATAATGTAATTAATTAATAATTAGACTTAAGTGGTTATATAAACTACTAACCATGACAATAAATTTGAAATAGCTTTGGTTATCACTAATACTTAATACAAGAAACCGAATATATTTACTTTGATAAGTACCTTATGTATTAAAAACGAAGCTGTAACTATGAATACGTAACGCTTTCTTGACTGGTGCGATTGGAAACAAAGAATACAGTTTTATGTGTTATATAGTGCAAGTTTATTTCCATATTTTATTCGATCAAGCAGTATATCTAGTTTTCATTTTCCTTTTAACAACTAGAGCATAGTACATATTAATATTCATTTTACTACAGTGAAACAACATTCAAGGATATTACTAACACAATTAAACGTTTCTTTACAGTAACCTAGTAACTAATGCGGCATTTCTTAAGCTACGAGCAAGAACATTAAATACGCTTTGCTGCAACAGTTTATTTTTTTAGGTCAAACAATTTATAAACGACAAAATGACACGTGGCTTGAAAGAAGTATTAAGAATACAAGCCTTGTTACACTAGTAATGTGTAAATATTTCAGATTTCTTCAGAATTATATATATATAGCAGAGCTGCAATTGAAGATATCAAACGTGTTGTTTTTTGTTCTCTTCTTTGTCAAATACTGACAAAGAAAGTCCATTAATCGCAATTTTGTTCTGTCGCATTTCAAGAAAAGTCTTGTCACTGAAGTTATTTATCCACTTTTATCGCATCAAATACGATGACGTTAAACAGCTTTTCATATGATCTGAGCATTTGTCGATTACTGGTTTCTCAGCATTTGTCATTCTTCAGAAATACACGAAACAATAATTAACCTTTTCCTGTCAGATTTCCACTGAAGCTTTTGAAAAATAATTTTCCATGTTCATAAAACATTAGATATCTCTCATATGATTGAATGATTTGATTTAGACGTTATATCCATGATTAACTAATGAAAACTTTGCACTGGTCATACTCACCACTACTAGGAGTATAACATTTATCCCTACGTCTCTTTATTTCGCTTTAGGAAACTAACCTCTTCCTGTAACCATGCCAACGATAACAGTATTCATGAAGTACCTTACTGGAAAATTTAATTTTAAACGACAAGAAAGAATTGTGCTTGGAATGGATGAAAACTGGTGACGCTTATATCGAAAATATTACCATTAAAAATAAATAACTTTGGTGAACTTGATTATTCTAGTAAAAACAGATCCAAAAAAGTAGATACCATTGGTTGAAAAGACGCCCTGAGTGGTAGTATCCTCAAATATCAGTAGAGATAGCTGTGTTGAAAATGTCTACTCTCAGAATAAAATAATTTAAAGTAGCCACTAACGACAAATGATCTTTAAGGAGAGATATGTTCCAGCTTAACGTGTATGTAGAGGTCGTATTTAAAGATGATTTCGAAACAGTAGCAATTGGCAGATTAGTTTCTGAGCAAAATAAATTGAAGGTAGCTAAACATATGGTTTACAAAAATATTTTATGCACTATAAGAAAAATATTTCGACGGAAATAATCATGAAGGTCATGGTCTTTTTCTTCTCTCACTGTGTAATGAAATCAGAAGACTGAAACTTTCTAAAAGCGTTCAATAGAGAAGCCACCATCATTTGATTGCATATGAATGAAGAATGAATTATTATCACTTTGCCTAGTTTGAGTCGTGAAGTTAGCAGAACCAAATGGATTACGTCACATTACCGCTGCGGCTAGTGAGAGCCTCCATCTTGGGGTTCAGCTTTTCCCGCCTGTCAATCAAAATCGGCCTATTCTAACCTATGCTATTGATATTCAGACTACTGCATCTTGTACAGGCAGTTTCTTTTTGTGATTTAAAACACGAATGTCTGTGAATAATATTGGTTTCTTAGAAAATACTGTCTACAACTTTTGGTTATTTCAAAATACAAACGCACAATGGGAGTTTATAATCTTGTTGTATATTAATTTATGAACTTGTAAATATGTACTGGTATTAAGAAAAAAAAAGATTACATTGAAAATGCTCTTCACCTACCGCTTTTTTAACGAACGAAACAAAGCCGTAGCCTTTGGATTTGAGAGTTTGTGGATCTCTGACAACTCGGCAGTCTCTGTAAATATATAATAAAAAAGTAAGAGATTAGTTAAATAGCTTAACATTTGTGAACAAATTATACAAGCTGCAGACGTCTTCTTTCACATATTCCTCTTAATTTGTTAATTTTCAATTTCAATACATAGGTGTGTAAAAATAACCTTTCAGATCTATCTTTTGTCTCCCACATATCACTGCCCAGAGGCTTTTAATTCAATACAAGAACTCGATAGCGGAGTTCAATTTCTGTCACTCATCATATAGACCAACTGAGTTTCTGGGGTAGTGATTTGTGCAAGAAAAAATAGATCTGAACTGTTCTTTTATTTTAATCTTCTGGTATAAAAGCTGAAATGAAGAAATTATATATATATATATGTAAAGAATATCTGTAGTTTATGCGATTTATATTACAAACAGTTTTCGGTAATTAAACCGTAAGTTCATTTCAACGAAATTTCTTTTTAATTTAACTTCCACTTTACGTGTTATATGCATATCTGTATAAACATATGAAGTTAAATATATATATATAAATTGATTTCCGTCTATTACCTGGAAGTAAGAAATTTTGCTTATATGTATCTTTGTTATATCCTATATACTTCTGATACATGTGTTATATTCATGTATAAGTATTACGTGGGTATATTTCTACTAGACTTACATTGTTGCTCATATTTTTTAATTATTATATATTTTTAGCTTAATGCAAAAGATGAAACGTATTTATTCCCAAACTTTCAGATGCACATAAACACGATAAAAGCATTGAATAGTCATTTAACATACTATTTTCCACATATTTAAGTGCTTCTCTCTACTATGAAATAAACGATGGCTATTTAATTAATTTTTTCTTCAGAAATAACTTGACATTTGTATGAAAATTTAGACTGATTCCAAGGTTTAACAGTCACAGTTTCAAGCAACTTATCAAACAAGATACTAAAACTTACATTCAGAAAATTTGCTCTCGTCTAGACTTAACCTCATAAGTTTTATCGAATACAGTTTGTTTTGTTTTTGTTTGTTTTTTGGAATTTCGCGCAAAGCTACACGAGGGCTATCTGCGCTAGCCGTCCCTAATTTAGCAGTGTAAGACTAGAGGGAAGGCAGCTAGTCATCACTCTTGGGCTACTCTTTTACCAACGAATAGTGGGATTGACCGTCACATTATAACGTCCTCACGGCTGAAAGGGCGAGCATGTTTGGTGGGATGCGGATTCGAACCCGCGACCCTCAGATTGTGAGTCGAGCGCCTTATCCACCTGGCCATGCCGGGCAACGAATACAGATCAGAACTTTTACATTTAGTTATTACATCATAAAACAGATTTGAAACTACACTACTTCATACAGTTAATGGGTAATTGAAAATGTCAATATTGTACCTATAGCAAAGCAAAAATACTGTTATAAAATAATATCAATCATAGTTGGGTAACTAAGCACATTGCGCTAATATAATAATAAATTGGCAAACAACGATTTATAAGCATAATTAAATGATTTATTTTTTGGGGGACATACTACATGTTACGACAGAAAATTGTTTTTTTCTTCTTCATACAGATCATTGTTCTGTCGAAAAATGTAGAATTTCCCCCCCCCCCAAAAAATATACCACTTATAAATCGTTGTTTGTCATCTTATTAAAATGTCAATCATCCCCGGCAGCTTATTGTTATGAAAATCAGTAATTTGGTGATCTGATAAAAATATTGGTCAGTCAGCCTAAACAAATTTAGTGGTCTAATACAATTTTGTCTCAATCGTCCTTGAAACTAAATTAGAAAATTCAGTTTACTCCATTTTATTTACGAATTATGGCTAGACCTTTAAAAAATACATTTGGAAATTTTAATCACGTGGAAAGCCACTGGACAAATGGGAGTCAGCCAACTACAGCATGCTGTTGCAAGTTGGTTTAAAGTATAATTAACTGAAGGTGAGTGAAACTGCTTTTGAATTAATAACATACTTATTCCGAGAACTGGACAAGACAGACCATCATCCACCACACAAACAGACCGCAGATATCTATCGATTGTGGCTTGCAGTAATCAAATGATAAAGGCTGTGAGATTGAATCACATGTTTGCAGCCACAGTTATTGCTGTGTTAAGTACAGATGGTTAGAAAGAGAATTCAATAGGTTGACATGTTGTATTCCTGACGTTCAATACATTCATTCTGCTTATAGCAATGCAAAAAATGAGCTTGACTGAAATTGCGTTTCACCCTTCGAATAGATAAGAGGTTTACACTAATCTTGAAACAGTCCCACCCTATTTTTATACAGGAACGTGGCACATACGACAGTGATGAAAGTATGGTATGTTTGTTAGTTGTTAAGCACAAAGCTACATACATTTTTAGCGTTATAGACCCTCAGACTTACCCTAGCCCATTGAGAAGCAAGTACGAATTGGAATAATCATTGGTGAATGTACCAGCCTCTACATATTGTGGAGTGGTACCATTATTGCCTTACATGATAGAGCCCACATCTTAGAAAACATTGGAGTACCATACACTGGCCCTACAGACACTAAATCTGACCCGAAAAAAACCTTTCAGGTGAGCCATGAACTGTAAAGATGTAAATACACATCAATCAAATGTTCATTTATAAGTTTAGGCTGAACGACTAGTCATTTGCCTTTCAGATCACACAAAGTATCACCACATGTGTGATATAAATTAAGTGAGGGGTAATTCATATAGCCCTTACAACATTGGCTTTAGTTTGTCGTAGCTATAATATTACAACTAATGCCCAGAAGCTCAGTTATATTGGCTGACCGAGAGAAGCTGACATAAAAGATCCCAGAGGAGTTTACCATAAATTTCACATGACATGATGGGAATTTCATCCATAACAGTTTGCTGTAATACCGTCACGGAATAGGATATATCAGTGATTGAAAAGTGTTCCTGAGTACATAGGTTTTCTGTTTGAATTGATAACTGCTAATGATTAAGTCATAAAGATAGTTTCCTCAAAGCATGAAGAAGTCCAGTAATGCAACAGATAAATATGCAGCCAATGAACACACTATGAGACTAGGTTCGTTTGCTCAATTCTCTCCTGCAACTCATGTAATTTGGGTAAAAGTGACAGTATTTTCTGTCCAAGTATTTCCTTTCCCTTTTGTGTGTTGGTCAGTATTTTTGCTATAATGCACTGCACAATATGGAAATAATACTAGAAAAATATCTATATAATGGACTTCTGAGTTAAGCATGACTTTATTCAAAGTTCTTATTTTTTTGTTTTTCCAATTACCAACTTAGCAGCCAATTTTGACCATGGTCATCATTCTAGAATGTTCGGTTCCACTATTAGGCGATGCTTTACCCCTTCTTTAGGTAACTATGATATTTGAGCTCTAAAACTCATATACAGGTAGAATTCTGCTGTCGCTGGAACTCCAGTCATCAAAGACAAATCTCCTTTTTGAAGCCATTACTGAAGTAGTTCTGTGTTTGATGACGTCATAGATTTCAGGCTGGAGACAGCACTACGCTTTTTTTAAATAATATCGAGGCCCAAGATGCTGAAAATTTATCCATCTGTAGCTATGACCATCACTGGCTTTTCCAATCTTTATGTTTGTGGTCACACTGGAAACTCTAACTGCTGTTATTCTGGATGTAGATACATATGACATTATTTCTTGATAATCAGAAAACAGCTTCTGGGCAAATAAACTTGTTGGTTCAAAATAAGAACCTCTCTTGTTATGTGTTGGAACCCAAGATATTGTGGTAAAAAGTTATTCATAAGGGCCTTTCTTACACTCCTGATTCCTCTTGCAACTGAGTTGGCATTACTGATCTAAATTACGCCACAAATATCTTCATAACTTTGCTGACAGCAATGCAAAGCACATCCTGCATGTGTGGTTGTATGCAGTACGTATGCATGGTAGGTATATGGTAACCAGATTTGGTAATTACATGAAGTTGTAATAATTATCATTACCCAAAGCTACAGTATTGTTAAAATCCAAGTTTCATGCTTGCTGGTGAGTAAAGCTCTCATTATTGGTAGTAAATGAAACAGGCCTCTTCTATTGAGCTTGTGCCTCTTACAATACACGTAATCTTATTGACAACTAAAATGACATTCTTTCTATTATTATTATGCAAAAAACAACTGTAAGAGGTACTTGCTTTACGTAATCACAATTTCATACTTTTTAGAGAGGTAGCTACTAAACCATGGTTTCCTGATCTGCAGAGGATGTTTCTCCATCGTTTTGTTTATAGTGTTTACGTTTTTTAAAAAATCCACCCGAAATTTAAAACACATGATGTACCATTTTCACAATTTCTAACATACTTGTCTTTCCCCATGCGATACCATGTTTAGGTATCTGTCTTCGTTCGAAATTACACACTACTGTGTTTATTATGAAAGAGCTGTGCTGAACTAAAATATCTCTTACATAATACAAATATGACATTGATAGAATCAGCTTTTGATTCCATAATGTATTTTATGCATGTTCACTTCATATTATCCGAGCTTTATTTTCAGCACAACCGAGACAATTTAGGCTAAAATTACACCCCTTCCACTTCCCAATGCTCCATAAACCCCTTTATAACATTCAACACAAGTGCAGCTTGATATTTATATGATAATGTAAACGTCTCACAACTTCCAGGTTTAATCATGTTATTGGTAGGATACAGTGCTAATCCAAATCATTAACATTACTGAGTCCTGTACTAATGAAACAGTGCATTTTCCCAAGTGAGACCAAGTTAGTGTTGTGTCTTCCATTATGATTCGCCATTTCCTTCCACATTTGCACTTTCAGGGTATTGGAAGACCAAGTGATTTATAAAACATGGCATTGAAATGTATATTAACACCTCCATACGAACAACATTTTCTTCATGTACAAATTCCATACACCGCAGCTTTATTTTAAATTAGGTCATATAGTTTTGCTTATACTCGACATATAAAAACATAACTTTGGGGCATATTACCATTAA